CTTCACTGTATCAAGGTCTATTATGTTGCGAGTGGTCTTCAGAGAACCGCAGTCACGATACTTAAAGGCAGTGATTACGATTAAGTGTAGGAGCACCGGAGAAGTAAATATGTTACGGAATTACTAGCCAGGTGGGAATGGAAGCGGGGTGGCGTTTTTGCAGCGAACAGTGATCAGTGTAGCGCAGTGAGGCTCCAAACGCTTGTTGCTACTGGCGCACAATTTAGCACCCCCTTCACTCTGAACCCACAGAATCTATTCCAACCGCTGCCTTCAAATGTTGAGTTTTCTGTGAGATACGCAATCATAAGTATAATTTTTCGCAGACCAAATCTTAAAAACCCGCAAGTAGCCCGAAGACCTCGGCAACTTGGAGTATCTGCGCTTTGTGATGTTTCCTCAGTTGGTAAGAGTAGATAGTTTTCAAATCAATTAACGATTCCAGTTGAATGAGCTGCACAAGAAACTGGGTGTTTCCCGAGTTTTCTTGGCTACCGATGCTCCTGAAGCGGAAGTTGATCAACTCGCCAAACTCGTGACAGTTCCTGTGCTAAGGTTCCACGATGCTGAATTGCTCGATGGAGCTGTGGCAATTGTTGACCAAGTTCGTTTCTTGTAGTTATTTTATTTCTGCTTTACGGGTTAGAGCACTGAGACAGTTCTTCACCTCAGCAGACTTGGATTTCGGCAGGAAAGGTCATTAAGCCAACCCGGCCAAATGAAATAAGGTGCACATTTCTGCACGCAGCATGGGACGCTGTTCCTGTCCGTAGTTTGGTGTTTTGCTTTTTTCAACATGGCTGAAAAGCCTTTTTGAATCCGTTATTTATCAACGGTCGCCCGACGCTACATCTACGAAGAGTTTGCAAGCAGATCCTCTTAAGTTTAAGCACTACTTGTCTGTGAGTGCCCATGGTGCCCGTAGTGCAGGTGCTATGCTTTTCCGTGGCAAGTAGGTACGATATTCGTATTCAGGGGATCAAACTACCCCTAAAACGAGTTTTTCGCCAAACCTGAGGTCATGAACTAATTGAGAAAAAGCGGAGCAGTGATGGGATTACCACTCCTCAAACTCCACTTTTTTGGGTTGACCAATCATGGACGACGGGGAAAGGGGAGAGAAGGTGTTGTATTAGGAAATAATTTGCAGATCTTTGGATGATGCAGACGGGCAAGCCAGACACAATTTTTGTCTATTATGAAAAGTGTTTGAAGGTTTATTCTACCCAAGTGCCAGCCTTTTGTAATGGATTGGTGGATCGGTGAGTAAGTGACTGCCCAAATTTTCGAGGTTAGGTCAAAATTTCAGAATTCGAAGTTTGCTCAAAGGGAGAGTCTGACTCCCTGATTACGAATATCATACTTGTTCGAAGCAAAAATGCCTGGCGCCTGCGCTACAAGCGCCCAAAGTAGTGAGGAGCGATGCCGCCCAAGTTCGTTATTAATTGCCCTTAAATTCTTTTACTGTTAACTATACGCAAGCATGTTGGACTAGCGATGTTAGGATCTTCCTATCTTACTGCAAACGGCAAAAGAACAAACTCGCCAGGAGTCGATCCCCTGACCTCTTTTTCGTGAGCCTCGACCACAGCCCCTGCGCTTTTCTGCTTCATAATTCCTTTCAGAGAAGAGTTCAGCAGATAAGGAACACATATTTGAGCTCAGCGTCCCAAGGCGCGTATACACATATACATCTCATTTCAATTGGCCGGGTTGACCAAATGACCTTTCCTGGTTAGTTTCTTTTTACTGATTGTGGTTGAAAGGCTGCCGATCCTCACAATTTTCAGTGGATATGTGCCCATGCACGAGCGTTCATCGGAAGTCACGTCTCCACGTTTTCCTATCGTATACAGGAAGACCGTGAGATCCTAGGATTCGCACCGAACACCACATTTCAACCGTTTTTGCCCAGATGATGTAGTCGATTGCGAGCAACCGGCTAAGTGGACGATTGTCTACGAGTAATCCTGCCTTTACTGTAGTCACTCTCCGTGTACCCATTTTTTTGTATCTCCAAAAATATGTCCTCTCATATATTTTTTTTTTTTATTTTTGTTTGTCGTCTATTTTTATTTTGAGGAAGCCTTCTCAGAAAGCGAATTACAGACCTGGACGTGCTGCAGCTTTCAATCTCATAATTTTAAGGAATTGCCAGTTACTAACTTACCATGAAGGAATTTCTCACATTCGACTAATTGACTCTATAACTCCAAACTTTTAATGTGCAATAACACATAATCTCATGAAATTTCCTATCAGCAATAAGCATTTGTGAAATTGTGATTATTTGTTCGTTTGTTTTCCACTTCAATTTGATATGTTGGTGCTAATTGCTTTCATTAATCTCATTTATGTGTTTCCTTGCCCGATTTGTTCTAAATAATCGATCTAAATAGAAATGTAATCAAGCATGTTTCGCGATGTGAGGATGTACAAGGTTGTAGGGAAACTCCTCGCGGTTTTTGAAATCTTCTAATTTCTTACTAGCTTCATGCCTTCCGGCAACTTACTCACTTACCTCTTACTTCTCGACCGCTATTCGTCCCGGGCACGCCAGAAACGCAGGTCGCACATCTTCCAGGTCGCTCTGCTTCGGGCTCTTCTGCGCCACAACTGGCCGTACATCTTCACGAGAGGGTCTGCCCATCTGGTGGGGGGTCTGCCTCTGGGCCTTGTTTTTCCCCTTGGGTACCAGTCAGTCACTCTCTTCGTCCAGCGATCATCGGTAAGTCTAGCCACATGACCGGCCCACCTCCGCTTGGAATTATAGATGGCATCGACGACGTCCTTCACCATCGTACGAGCGCGGATGGTGTCATTGGGTATGCGGTCTCGGAGCGTTACCCCGCACATGGCCCTCTCCATGGCTCGCTGAGTGACTGCGAGTTTCTCCTCTTCAGAGACTGTGGTGCTCCACGTCTCCGCCCCGTAGGTCATCGCGGGAAGAACATGCGAGTTGAAGACGTGAGCTTTGACCCCGGGGTCGACGTGCTTAGAAGTTAGTACATCTCGAAGTTTATTGAACGCGGTCCAGCCCGCTCTGCGGCGTCGGCTAATCTCGAGCGTGAGATCGTTATTCATGTTGATCGCTTTGCCGAGATAGACGTAGGAGACTCGCCCGACTTCGCTGGCTCTTCTGAAGAGGTCGGTCTTGGTACTCGAATTTGTTCGTTGTGCATGTCCACTTGAGTTCTTGCCGGATGATGGAAGCAGGGTCAACCCTACGTTACGAGTAACAACGGGGGGTCGTACTCAGTTGAGCTTGGAGGGAGGGGGGTCGTACCCTCTCGGTGGCCGACAGTGGGATTCTTGGTAATATCGGATAATAGCCAGCACGTTACGTTTTCGTAAGATGACTGATACAGCATCTATAAACCACGATTCCCTCTAAATGAGCTTTCAAATGAATCAGCGAATTAGAAGGGCGCCCGAGGCGTGGCGCGCACCAAGGCAAGGGATGTAGTGCAAGCGCATGCTCGAGCTTTCTAGCACATCCTAAGTTAAACATGAAATTGGTCTTCCAAGAAGTTACGGGCAGTGAAACCTAAGAAAACTCGCGTTTTCGAGAAAATGGCTTGAAGAATACCCCTCAAAATAAAAAGTAACAACGGGACTAATTTTTGAACTGCTGATCTTTCAGGAACGCTTGGGTGCTCGTTAGAAAGCTTGAATCCTGTAGTTTATTATACCGTGTTCAGCTTCCCAAATGAATGACTTTGAAGGAAGTTATGATCGTTTGAAGGTCAAAAAAGTCGCGGTTCCAAAAAATAGTAACGCAAACCCCCAAAAAAGTAACAACGGGACTAATTTTTGAACTACTGATCTTTCAGGAAACGCTTGGGTGCTCGTTAGAAAGCTTGAATCCTGTAGTTTATTATACGTGTTCAGCTTCCCAAATGAATGACTTTGAAGGAAGTTATGATCGTTTGAAGGTCAAAAAGTCGCGGTTCCAAAAAAATAGTAACGCAAACCCCCAAAAAAGTAACAACGGGACTAATTTTTGAACTACTGATCTTTCAGGAACGCTTGGGTGCTCGTTAGAAAGCTTGAATCCTGTAGTTTATTATACGTGTTCAGCTTCCCAAATGAATGACTTTGAAGGAAGTTATGATCGTTTGAAGGTCAAAAAGTCGCTTTGCACAGAAAAAAGTAACAACGTACTAAATTTTTATTAAATTAACTTTCGAAGAATTTTTACCCATGGTTGGAGAGAGAATAATTTGAATTTTCCAAATCAAATCACTTCGGCGCAGAAGCTCGAATATGAAGGAAGTTATAGCCTTAGAAAGAGGGGTGTAAAAATTGTGTTGCAATTGAAGAACGTGAAGGATTTCAGTATTTCAATTGGAGCGATAATTTTTTCTGACTTCTCATAAGTTTTTATCAGGTAATATTGTCAATATTCCGGTCACTGGTTCAGTTTATTTCATCTCCTAGTTTGGTAACCCTTTGGAGTACACGGATATCTTTGAATGCATCTCATTTTTTCGTGTTTGGAAGCAGCGATGAATATCTGTCGTGGATTTTGCTAAAGTTTCATCTTTGATGACTTACGTAGAAATAAATATTGATGGTAAACACTGTCTCTACACAAGTGTTACATACAAGGGGGGGTCGTATCAAACCACCCCTGAAGGGGGGGGGGTCGTAAAAAATTTCCGAAGAGTAACAACGATAGGGTTGACCCTGGTTGAACCGTTTTGCCGGTTGATTTCCCCGATGAGGCTCAGGGAGTGTGCAGTATCGGCAGCTTAGTTGTGCATATATGTACAAGGAGAAGATGTGTGCGCAATTTATGTAACATTATGCTGTCACCTTCTCAGCTTATCACATTTCTGCATTATGCAACTTTCACAACAGTACTTTCATGATCTTTTATCTATAAGGTTTCGTATTTGGCGAATCAGCAGCCTAATCCGGTTCGTCGCATTAATGCTGCATATGGGAAATAAGGTATCCGAATGCACTGCACTAGGTCAGTGTAAAAGCTCCCGCAATGGAGACCTTATAGCCTTGAAAGTTGGACGTCGACTCGGGGTTGATAATGGTCATTCACGTCAGCTGGTGGAGACCCACTTCAAACTGCCTGCAAACTAGCACAAGTCTTAGACGTTCCTTTTGACGCCATCGCCGGCCACCTGCGCCATTTGGGAAAGCTGCAGAAGTTTTTATTTCATTGAGAAAGTGAATGAATCGGTTGTCAAAAACCGAAAAGACTTGCCCTATAACCTTGTTTTTATAGGAGCACAGCAAAAAATCAGTTTTTCGGCTGTTTAGAAATGATCTTCGAAGTTTTTCTAAACATGTGAAGGTCATGTCAACTGGGGAGCGTGCAACAGAATCGTCCGGGATTGGCGCCGTCGCGCGCGGTTGCTTGCGCGGCGCCGTAATGCGGCATTTTTTCGATGGGCGCGGCAATACTTGGATTTTTCGATTGGAGCGATGAATTCGCTGCAGTCCACATTAGTCTATTTGAGTGCATTTCGCCTGCTAAGACAACTTTTCTTCCAAAACACTGCGCTGGACTCAATTCATCAGTTTTAGTACTAGGCTTCAGAGGAGAAGGGGCTGGAGCAGGGTCAACCCTACGTTGTTACGAGTAACAACGGGGGGGTCGTACCTGGTTGAGTTTGTAGGAGGGGGGGTCGTACCCACTTTAGTCGCTCGAAATCACGTGTGGGATTGAGGTGAAACTAAGATTTCGTGGGTAGTAGGCTGGCGAGTGGAGGGCGCGCAGGATAAAAATTTGCCGCCCGGCGCC